GCACTTCCTGTTCCCATAGAAACTTGGGCCCTGAAAACCAGCGAGTCGAAGAGATGTCTGCTGCATGAAGACCTCTAGAGGCGTGGTCAGCTGGGTTTTGTGCTGTATCTACGTAGTTCCATTGATTTGGGTCTGTAATCTCTCTTATCAATTGAACACGGTTTGCCACGAACACATGGAACCTTCGTGCCTCATTGTTGATGTAAGCCAGCACTACTTGTGAGTCTGTCCAGAAGAGTTCTTGTTCAATTTTCATCTCGAGTTCTGCCTTCAGCATAATACTCATCCTGGCTGCGGTGACTGCGGCAGAGAGTTCCAATCTTGGGATGCTCGTGATCTTCGTAGGTGCAACCCTCGCTTTGGCCATTACAAGACTGCAATGAACCTCGTCCTTGTCATTTTTGTATCTCAGATAGGAACATGAACCATATCCTGTGTTACTGGCATCTGAGAAATGGTGCAGTTCCACCCTAACAATTTTACCAAAGTTATGAGGATGGTAACATCTGGGTATGGCAACTTCCTTTAACCTCTGTAAACCATTCTTCCACTCCTCCCACCGTGAACGCAAGTTCTCAGGAATAGGATCGTCCCATCCAATACCTCTACGACATAGCTCCTGCAGGATGCACTTGCCACTCAAGGTGAAGGGAGCTACAAACCCGAGAGGGTCATACAGAGATGCGACGACTGACAATAGACCACGGCGAGTTGGGGGGTGGTCCTTTGCGTCAATGTTGAAGCTGAATGTGTCATTTTCTGATGACCACTGAATGCCCAGTATGTGTCCTTCTGGTGTTGCGTCTGGATTAAGGTTGAGAGGATCAGTGGTTACTGCCCTTTCTGAGGGTGCCACACAGGAGAGGACCTCTTTTTGATTTGAGTTAAACTTGTGCAGACGTAGACCTGCAGTTTTGCACAGTTTTTGTGCTTCGACAATTAGTTCCTTAGCTTCCTTGATTGTTGGAACACTGGTTAGCCCATCGTCCACGTAGAAGTTCTTCTCCACAAATACTGAAGCTGTCGGGTGGTCAACTTTGTGTTGCTGTGCCAGATACTTGAGACCAAAATTGGCACATCCAGGGGAGGACGCAGCACCGAAAATGTGGACTGTCATTCTATACTCCTGCGGTTCTGTTTCTAACACTCCACCCTCCCACCAAAGGAACCTTAGGTAGTTGCGAACTTCTGGTGAGACGCTGAACTGGTAGAACATCCTCTCGATGTCACAGATCACAGCAACTGCTTCTCTTCTAAAGCGACAAAGGACTCCTACTAAAGAGTTAATTAGGTCGGGGCCTGTGAGTAAAGTGTCGTTTAGGGAAATCCCCCGGAACTTTGCCGAGCAATCAAACACGACTCTTAATTTGCCTGGCTTCCTGGGGTTGTACACTCCGTGATGTGGAATATACCACACAGTTTCTCCCTCCAATAATGGAGGAGCTGGCTCTGCATCACCTTTCTTGATAGTTTCTTCCATGAAGGCGGTGTAATGGTCGAAATACTGTTTGTTGGCCTTTAACTTCTTCTTTAGATGTTGCAGCCGAACAGTAGCCAGCTTCTTATTGTTAGGGAGAGCCGGCGGACAACTGCCCTTGAATGGAAGGGGAATCTCAAAATGTCCATCTCTTTTCTGCTTAATGTTATCACTAAGGAGCTGAATAAAATGAACGTCATCCTGTGAAACGTACTTGTCTTCATAGCTCCTCTCATTGAAGTCCGATTCCAGTATTTTCAGCACATCGGTGGCCACTGGCACCTCTTTCACCGCAACACGATGCACAAAGCTCTCGTTTCCTTGTCTATCCAAGTGGGGATTGGCGGACCCTATAATGCTCCAGCCAAGCATTGTCCTTTGTGCGAAAGGTTCATTTTCACCACCTGTGATGACCTCCAAGGGAGCTAGTGCTGACGGGCAATCATAACCAATTAGCAGTCCAACCTCACAATCTTGGAGTGGATGTAACTTGTTTATAAGATGTTTCAGATGAGGCCACTGAAGCGCTGTACCTTTTGTAGGAATGTGAGACTTGTCGATTGGAATGAAGTCTCGTGTGTAGGTCTGCTGTAGTTGGATGTAAGTGTCAGAGTTAAGTCCCCGAACTTGTAGACCATACGCACTCTTGCTTGCTATGACTGTGTTGACAGCTGTCATTGTGCTGAGTTTAAGTTGAACTGGCTGAGTGTTCACATTTAGTTCGGTGACCAAATCTTCCAAGATGAACGTTGAGTCGCTCTGTGTGTCGAGTAGAGCATAAGTGAGAATTTCTTTCTGGGGCTCTGTTGTTGATGACACAAGAACTGGAACAATGCTAGAGGTGGCAGAAACGTGCTGTGTCAATGCATGGGCCATTACCTTGTGAATTTCCTTGCTTCCATGGTCTCCTGTAGCTACGGGATCATTGCTTGCAGATCCGCCAGGGTTTGTGTTTCTTTCTAGGTGCAAGCAGGTTGGATGACGTCTACCACATGTACTGCAGGTGTGTCGCCTTTTACAGTCTTTGGTTGTGTGACCCTTTCTTAAGCATCCAAAACACAGGTGGTTTTCATGGATAAAGGCCTTCTTTTCATCTGTAGTCTTTGCTGCAAAAGTTGGACACTTCACAACACCATGTGTTTCGTCTTTACAAACTAAGCAAGGTGGCCTTGGTTTCACGTTTTCCAGAGTTCCTGAGTTGGAGTTTTTCATTTGAGTTCCTGAGGTGGAGTTTTTCATTTGAGTGCTTGTGTTGAGCACCTTGGCTCTCTTTGAAAGCCTCTCGTCCGTGCCTTTAACGTTCATCAAAAGGGGGGAGGCAATAGGGTTACAAGCTATACGAGCTTCGGTCTGCATAAACTCTGTGAAATGCACAAAACTTGGATAGTCTCCAGATCTGTCTAGCTCTTCCACAACAATACGACTCCATCTGCGCACCATCCACTCAGGCAGCTTTTTAAGGAGCTTGTGATTTTCCTCGCAATCATTTAGAATACCCAGGCCCTTAACATGAGGAATGGCCTCAACACAACCTTGAAGGAAATCTGCAAACTCTCTTAATGCAATGGGGTCATTTGCAGCTATCTTTGGCCACTTCATGAGCTTGTCTCTGAAGGCCCTTTGGACAATAAATGGGCTTCCGTACCTATCTTGTAAGACTGCCCAGGCACCTTGATATGCCTTCTCTGAATTTCGGTAGAAAAATCCTTCAACGGCTTTGCGTGCTTCACCAGCAAGATAACTCTTTAGATAGAGCATTTTTTCGCTAGCTGGGAGCGGCTTCTGGTCGATAAGAGCCATAAAGGATATCTTCCAGTCTATGAACCTCAAGGGATCACCAGTAAACGTGGTTGGTTCCGGGACAGGTAGACGGCTTAGGGTAAGTGAGCTTGCAATTGCCTGGGCTAGGCTGACCTCCTGAGCTACTGGCACCTCTGAGTGTGCAGGATGAGGCTGGAATGGCATTGCTTGTGGATTTAGTGGGGTTCTGAGTCCAGCATTGTGCCCACTATACTGAGTTTTTTGGTCAGTCTCCTCCTCAAAGCTTTCAGCACCATCAAAATTGTTGTACGCTCTCACCCGAGCTGCTGCTACCTTCACTTCATTGTCCGCTTGTAGCTGTTGTAACCTTGTTTTTTCCTCTTCTAGCTTTAGTTTCATTTCAACCTCCTTTTGTTTGATTTCTGCTAGCATCTGTGTTTCCTTGAGTTTCCATTCACTCTCCAGTTTGTCGAGTCTTGCCTGTTGAAGGTGTATTTTTTGCATGGCTTTTGCCTGTTCTACCTTGGCGGCCAGTTCGGCTTCTGCATCTGCACGTTTGCTAGAGGACCTGGAGGTGGCGCTTGAGTGGTTGCCGGATCCTTGTGATGACTCTGAAATTACTGTTTCTGTTTTCGTATTTCCAAAGACTGACTCATACTCATCCTTATTTAGCGCCATTCTCACCCTCTCTTTCTCTAGTTGGTCATTGAAAGCCTCATCTATGTTCTCAAGTCGTTTACTGACAAGGTCACAAATCTCAGCTGTAAGGGTGTCACATGCATCCATTCTTTTGACAATATCAGGAGTAGTGGTATGGTTGCGTCGAATGGGCTCATAATTTTGATGCACTATAGCTTGTTTGGACTTAATGTTAGTTTGAATTTTATCAAGGTCCTCAGACAAGCAGAAAGCCTTCAATTTAACTCTGAATTCCTTTGCCGAATTTTTCCAAGAATCATACGCTTTGTTGAATGCCTTTTCATTCCTCTTTGCTTCCTGATCATGTAATTCTTGACCCTTTGTTGTTAAAATACGGTCACGGGAGCTTGACCTGACTTGTTGTGCTTCTGGGGTCTTGTCTATTTCCTCAGCAGGTAATGACATCTTGTAGGTCTGTTTGTACTTTAAGGCCTTAGAGTGTTTTATGTCTAGACTCCAATTTGGATGAGTGGTGACTTTAACTTATCTTTAAAACTATATATTACCACTCACATCAGACATTTACACTTTGTGGACACATCAAGGGGGTAAAACAGAAACAGCTACTGAACGTCATAAACAACAATACTGCTGATAGTCTTGTGACAGACAATTTTGCTCCTCAGATATTGTTAGTTCAGGAATTAAATCTTATCAGATAACGTTGACCTTAGCCACACTCTTAGACTTTGTACTGGTCAACCTTATGGGTCTAGCATTTAGCGTATTTTGTGTTACACATCCAAAACCCTTCTTGGAATTATTCAGAATATGGCAGTTCTTGATTTCTCTAGAGGTCCAATGTCCCATGTAATGAATTAGCTGAGCACATAGTCCTTTAAAACCCGTTGACTTTAATGTAGTGCTCCTGTTTGTGTATCTGTGATTGGATTTACCCACTTAGACAAAATCTCTCACTGCAGCTGTGGCATCCATATATTGGCGTGCAAACATCGGATGATCTTGTGTCCACTGGCTGATGAAGACGTCTGCATTGGTGGATGACTCCGCGATAAGTTTTCACTGTTGCAGCCCTTGGCTCCTTAATAAATGGCAGAGAGTCTCAAACGGGTGCAGTAATTTTTATTCGTCCAAATCAGCGTGAGCACCGTGAAAACTATAAGTAAACACAAATAGCTGATTAATGAACCTTTAGACACAAATTCGCAAACAAAATCCTCACCTCATTTACAGTATATCAAGATGCATTTTTGTACATGTACAATACAAATCAAGTGACCTTTGAAGTTATTTAAATAACAACTAAAGACAATAATTGTCTCCTTTAACATATACACTTTCATGGTACAAGATAAACAACAAAATAATTTCCAATAACAGTCAAAATTTGACATTTTACATCCTTGAAGTCCTATTATACATAGAGCCAAATGATACACACCTTACTCCGCTCACCAAGGGTGCAAATTTTAGATTTGCTGCTTTTCGGAATTAGCCGCTAGCTTGAAGGTCTCTGAACTAAAACAGCACACACATGTGTGGAAATAAGACAAAGCAAACTTCACCAAAAACGCATGAAAATGGAAATACATGAACTACTTAATATTGTAAAGTGAAGAGCACCAGGATTTCACAATTTACACAGTTTAAGAGTCAACTTACATGTCCCTGATCTTCGGAGATGAGAGAAGTCAGGCAAGTGCAAATCGAATTATTAGTTATACAGGTTCCTGGGTGCACAGCCTCCAACCCAGTCACATGAATTACCTCACTAAGAATATACTACCTCTAGCGGCCTCCAGTGGCCACTTACATTGCTGTTTGTTCAACATCACTTTAAAGTCAATATGACACACTAATTTGGAACCCATATTTAATCTATAATAAATAAATAATGCATATCCCAGAATGTAATGTGGTATATCTGATATGCAGGAAGAGTACCATGGCATAGGAATTGATTGGATGGTTAAAAGGGCGTTCCTGAATCACAAAAGCACAATAAGAATACTAGACGTACGATGTCAAACACTATACTTTTCACAGAGGACTACCATATTTTTTAGCCTTTAGTATGAGAAGCATGGATATTATTATTTTAACTTAGGCTACATCGTCCGGTTATTTGAAGAGCAGTTTTTCTTTTGAGAATTTTCAGTGTGAACATACTTGGCTAATAATATGACTAAAATTGTGGGTTTGCTTTAAGTGTATCAGTAAAAGTTCACCGAGAACGGGTTTTCACCAAACAAACGTGTAGGCCTACGTGTTGTTTACAAGTGCTAGCAATTTCAGCACCATGATCTCTGACGTCACGTGAGTTTAAAATGAGGCCGCGCGAGAGGCAGAAACATTCGGCAACAGTGTCGGTTACAGAGGATGAACCGCGGCGCAACGTTCTGACAATACTGGTCAAATAACGCGAACATTATGTCGAATGTAATAAAATACAGCCCAGGACTCTTCCTCATATAGTCTGCTATAAACTACCTTCGAGAAAGTGGACAGTTTGATTACGAATACGAAGACTATGGACGAACAGCAAGAAGCGAATTCACATCAGGGAAAGTAAAACGGACCGGGAGAAGGTAGGCTGCATATTTTCTATTTCGGTTTTAAAGCACCTTTAGCCTGAAACTGTTAGTTGGCTACACATAATCTGCAATAAAATAATCATATCTTGATATATAGGCTCACTCACTGTGTTGCTGTATCATTTAACGTTACAAGCGGTTCATAATTTAACAGCGTTTATAAATGTATTGCTGACTATCCATTGAAATAGTTTCTCGCATGTCTTACACATTTTAGTTTTTGACGAGTTTATAAAATATCCTTTGAACATTATGATTTAAGCATAATTTGAGATTATTAAACTGGTCAGTAGCTACTCATAGCACATATATATGTGGATTTATAATGATCTCATACTCTCTAATAGCCTACCACATTTATACGACATTTGTTTTTATTCTGTAAGCTCGCTAATGAAATTAAATAAAATGTTTTATAGCAGAAAATTAAATTATTTGTTATCTTTATCGCATATAATTTTAGCTCATTTTGGGTTACGAGATCGATTGAGCTGTCACTTTTGCTCAACCGTACATTGCTGCAGTCTTTATTTATAAGCGTGCTAGATTTTCTCCTAGATTTTAGCCAAAGTTGACGTATCGTGTACAGTAGCAGTTCCTCAGCCAGTGTCTTCATTTAATTCAGCCTTTGGGGTTTAATTATTTTACGTTATGGGAATGGTTATAATAAAACTATGCGTTGTCGTATGTTAATAAAATCAAATATACTGACTTAATCTATCCATATTTAATACAATGTTGTTACTGAATCTTTTGCTTACTGCACATTCAATGCTATATAATATCACGCTGTCAAACTACTCGTAATATTTTGATGTCTGTGAAACCATAGCCCACAGTAGGCTAATTTACAAGGATTGCAATAACGATTTCATTGTAAAACACTTATTGGTATTCATAAAACGAATTTATGTATGCTAATGAAGACTGAATTGGCTAATACGTCAAGCGTTCATAATATATGTGAGTTACTGTTGTTTTCAATCAAAGGCATGGTCTAAGCATTTGAGACGAGACGACGCGCCGGTCGCCCGGGATCGTCTTCTTTCCATTCATTACTTTTGCTGGAAAGTTTTCGGGCCGCTAGATGGCTCTGTTGAGTAATTTGACAGCCTTATTGAGCTGTTTAGAGCCCCTGTTCATAACCAAACAGATGCAGTCCTTTAATTATCGAAATGTAGCAGGTTTAGATAATAAAGAAGAGTATTTTTTTCCAGTGGCAAAATTCCTTTATTCAGACAAGAACAGCTCTATATAAAATATAATTGGTTGGCTCTTCAGTGTTCATTACCACACTGTTTATGTCGCTATGTGCTATTTTGTTGGACATCTTTTGACTGCATATCATTTTTTAAATGTGTGGACATAAAGATTTTCCATGTCTGACTGTGCTTTCCAGGATGTTTGACTGTTGCTTTCGCTTTGGCTGTTAAAAACCAAACTAAATGTCACGTAACATCAGCATTGACTATTCTCAATTCAAACTAATGTCATAGATGACTGACTGATACCCTTTATGGTGTAAGATGCTGCATATTGCGATAATGACAACAACAAAAAAAAAGAGTCAGAGGTTGGATTTTTGGCTCTTGTGTTCAAAGTGTGTGTTACGTGACCTGCATTAAATTCAGAATGTGGAGAAACATTGATTTTGTTGCATGCACAGCAAATATGTTCATAGATTTGTCTGACTCAGATTTTCAAGATTTGTTCCTCAGTCTGGCAAATCTAAGGCTATGTTGGTTAGTCTGCTTGCCTAGACTGCATTACAGCCATCTGTCAAAAAGTCATAAATGTACTTTGCCAATACAGTAATGCAGCTTTTGTTTTTTCAGTCTTGAGCTTTTAGTCTAATTAAACAGCAGTGTTGTGAATATATTCATTAGTTTGCAGCTATTTATTCTGCCCAATGATTTCTTCAATAGAAACTAAAAACGGCATTGTTTTGTTTAGTCCCCCCCTCCCATTTTGGCATATTGTAAAAAAAAAATTGCACCTAAAATTAGAATGCAGCTCAGTCTCGACTCTCGAGTCAAGTTGTTTCCTGCACTGTTTGCTATGTTTAAAGGGTGAAAACGTGCAAAACTGTTTGAGATTAAAATTTTGTTTCACTGAATAAGATACAGAATCAGAACAATAGTACCAAATAAATGATGCAATCGATTTGCGAGATTTGTGATTTAGTGCAAATATGAAAATAATGAGAATGTTTGATGATGTTGACTGCTTGCATCACTTATCTCCAGTGCAATATGACCTTGGTGTGTTGTGTTTTGAGTCCTGGGACGTTGTTGTCAAGTCTAACCTTCTGTGTGACTGAGCATGCATGTGGTAAGCGAGACAGGACTCTCAACAATGAGAGACTGAGCGCTGCTTTGTGTAGCACCACTGGCCTGTGAGCTCTGATTCGTCCTGACAGCACTTAATGACAAGGAAGCAGGGGCATTTTTGGTTTAATTTTCTGAGCTGTTTTGCAAAGTGACGCTTGAGCCAAGGGCAAAGAAATCTCTTTTTTCTCTTTTCAATGTTATGCCATCTCCTGTAGAGTTTCCAGTTTCCAGTCTAGTAAACCTTTTCAGCTGGAAATCCTGATGTTTTCTTCAATCAATAGTCTTAATTAGTGCTGATTAATGAAGGGAGTCTGGTTGCGCATTGCTAATAGTTGTTATGAATTCCCAAGGACGAAGCACTTTCTGCTTTGCCTGGCATTTTAAGTTTTGAATCAAATTTAAATTTATGACATGCTTTTGCTTTTGTACATTTCTGAAAGATTTAGTCCTGAAGATTTTCAAATAACTGATGAGATTCGTTTTAATTAGTTAGAGATGGCGAATTGAGGCTGAGGAGAAGTTTTCAAATTAAGATTTCATTAGTATTCTGTGTCTATACACGGACTCGGATCAATGGAGAAAATGAGCTGCATCCTTTTGTTTTAGTATTCAGATTTAAAAAGATTATTTATTTTTATCTAGCCAGGTTAAATGGGAGTGCAACAACATAAATTTAACATTAGTATCACAAACTGTTGGCTTATTTTCGTATGACGTCAGTTTCGGCCTGTGCTTGGATTGTGTTAGAGGATTTATAAGCTAGGATATTCATGGAAAAGCCATTTCCAGTGATGAGGAATGTTTTACCAAAATGTTTATGTGTGAAGGTAATCTTTAGTGTTTAGCAAATTGCTATGGAAACTGGATGAAATGGCCTTGTTTTATTGTGACCCTCATCTGATTCTTTGTCTCCATTAGTGTAAGTTTGCTCATTTTCATGTAATTTTCGTATCTTTAATCTAAACAGGGATATGGAAAATGGAAGAGTTGTTGAGAGCTGTTGGATTGGATTAGGTGTTGTGTATGAATTAGAATGCTATAGATTGTGGAATTGTAGTTTTTAGTGTTTTGCTGCTCTTAAGATTTATGTTTTTAGCTCCTTTAGCTTTTTAGCTAGTGTTTTATTTTTTTACATTTGATTATTCAGATTCTGTTGTTAAACAAACCCTGGACATACCTGAAACCCTAAACCCCCTTGGTTTGTCAAAATGACACCTACTTTGAAACATGTATGTAGGTCAGGTCATATAATTTTTATGATATTTTAAATATAATTCAAGTTTATTTTACACACTTTAAGCTCTATCATATCGCATATCAAATTTTGTATTTTTCTTCAATATCATGCAGGGCTGCTGCATGAGACCAACATTTAATAGACAGTGCGATGTTGCTTGGGATTTTCGAAGAAAGACATCACAATTTTACCATGAAATTAAGATTTTGAAGCTCCATTTGTGTGTATATAGTGCACAAACTTTCGAAATAAATGAAAATATGTAAACCATCAAATGATGGGTGAAACAGCAGTCAATTAGAATGAGAGTGGATCATTTTCTAAACTGGAATGGACATTTTTTGACCAATCTGAAGTTGAGTAACTTCACTGGAGTTCGCCTAATTATGCGTGTCTGGTAATATTTTAAACATATGATTTGTTGGGGGTTCAGAGGAAATCAATCGTCTGTTTTATTTTACCTTAACAGGGTCTATTTCAAATTCTGAATTGATATAAACAACAATTTATAGGTCAAACATAGCCCACATTGTACACATTAACACTTTAATGTCTTTTATAGTGCACAATATAGTAACACTGGAGGCTATGCAATGGCACTGAAGACAGTGCTCAGTAGACAAAACCTTCAATAGCATAGTAAGGCC